CAATTCTGTACCTGTTAAAAGGCAAGACAGCCGGTAGAACCAGTGACCGGTTTACAGTTCACCTAATGCTTGAATATGCACATTACTGATCGAACAGAACATGAAACTAACGTAACAAAGTTAATTGATAAAGTTTAAGGAAGAACAGATTAAGCATTAAGCATAGTAAGCAAATTGAGAATGCGATTTAAAAGTTTTTCTTATACACATAGCTTCACTAAGCGCCTAGTGTGTGCCATGATGTTCAGACTTCAACTACTAACCAATCCCATCGAAAAAAGAAAATCAGCTTCTGAAAACAAGCTAGTAAATTAAAATATTTATAAAAAAAAAGAAAAAGCTACTCACGCAAGTGTCATATTGTTGCTTGGGTCCAGTCCAACCTCAATAACAGTAGTCCCCTCTATATCCACTTCTTTACAGGGAGTAGTGTTTCTTCCAGTAACTCTGCAGGCCTGGTAGAACCCGTGTGGCTTCACTCGACCGGAGTCATTACCCACGAATACCTGCAGCACCACCGGCTCGTTGTGACCTTCCAGCTGAAACATGGCAACACAAATTAATACTCAATTGGCCAGCAATGCCTCTTAATTAAGACAGGAAACATTTTAGGGAGCTGAATTTGAAGTGAATCTGCTCCCAGTGTTGCCAGAAACAATCCTAAGCGAAGAAGGAACAAAAAATTTTTGTCTAGTTTATAAACAAAATGATAATATTTATCTTTTGTCATTTGTTCTTCCATTAAAAGACAAGTCAGTTATTTAACAAACAGGTGAGATAATTTTTTTAATTATTATTAATATTTCATTTTTAAACCAGCTTGAATCCTATCTATCTTCACAGAGAATTATCCCAACTCCAACTTTCAACTCCAACCACGCAAACCTAGTTTTCCTTCAGACATGAAAATAAAAATAAAAAATGGCAACTTGACATCTCCTACTTAAAGTTTATGAACAGTGTTAGGATTCACTGAAGCGCTTAATAAATAAAAGCAGGTCAGACATACATTTCACATAATGATTTAGCCATCCTCCTGCAATCCAGGGCGCAGGCCATAATTACCCCAGAAGATGTTAGCAAAAACTGCATTTGTTTTTATAACATCGACATCCTAGCATGAAAGGGTTTGTGTCTTTTAACACTTTTACTAATAGCAGAATCCCACTGTGGTGCTACATACTAAAAATACTCTGATGTAAAAGTAAAAGAAGTCTTGAAGTAAACCTGGACGTTGTATTACATAGTAATGTCTCATTCTTTTTAGCTAATGGAAGAAAAATATTCCAAGTAAAAAGAAAAACTGGATCGCTGCCAAATTCCCAGGCCAGAGATGGAAATACTTTGCCATAGCACTCTAGGAGAAGATAAAACAAGTACTTTTATTGTTTTCATTAAGCCACAATTGTTGCCAGAGGATTTCTGGGTGACAATGTTATGTTTTGTCCTAGGCCTGGAAGCCCAGTCAATACTTGCAGAAAGAAGCTCAGTCTTTATTAGTAAGGAGATGCAAATGAGAGCAGGATCCTCCAGAGGAACCCTTAGGGGATTAGGCCCTGACACACTTTGAAAATTTAGTTCTGCAGTTCTTAGCAAGTTTGAAAAAAGGAAAAAAAAAAAAAAAAAAATCAGCAAATACTGATAAAATCATAGTACGCTCCTCATGTCCCAAAGGAGCAATTAGCTTACAGCAGGTAGGTGGGTTACGACTGTCACGGATGGGCAAAGCCTAGTACAGGCTCCCAGTACGACCCACAGGCTAACAGGTACAGTTCATATCAGAGAGCTCAAGAGCGAAGAGAGTACGAACAAACAAGAGATCGTGAAAAGAGCCAACAAGAGGACTTAATCACACCAGGTGGTCCAAAGGCAGTGGGGAATAACAGGTACTCTGATATTCTACCATTGAATCTCTTTTACACAGAAAGCGGAATGAATGGCCTTTGTGTCGTGTTACCGAGGTCTCCTTGGCCAGAAACAGCATCGCCACAGCTAACCTGTGTTTCTTTTCTTCCCCAGTGTTCTTATCAGAAGAAGATATGAAAGGCGTGGAAGAGCATCTCTCATCATCTGGATGGTAACTGCTCCAGCTTTGCAATACCGTTAGCAAGAAAACATGAAAATCTGCTACTGATGACTGGAATGCCTCCACTGACACTCTGCATTCAGGATAATCTTTCTTTTGCCAGACAAGTCACTTGACTAAGGTTTGTTTATACAATTTCAATGTTGCACATTGATTGTAGATTCTCTAGTTCTAAGTTATGGAGTAAGGTGGTTTTCTTTAAAGGGCCACAGAACCTGCTTCTCCTCCTCACTCTTAAGCAGAGTGATGCATCTGAATAGCTGCCCATCACAGGTGCTGCCAGAGAAGAGCAAGCACCAGATCTCTACTGAACTAGCAGCATTTTTACACTATTCTTCCCCATCTTTAAAACATCCCCAAAAAACACAAACAAAACAAAAAGCCCTCTTGTCCTCTACATTTTTTTTCCACTAGCTGGGATTTCCTGAAGATCCACTGACTAATTCGGTCTGTCCAACCCTGGCAGACTTTTCTATGCAGGGTATGAACTAGTTTGCCTACTGATAAAGCAAGCTTGAGCTTCCAGGAATTCAGTAACACGAGGCTCTTCCAAACAGAATTTTCACTGATGGGTGCTAAAGGGTAACCGGGAAAGGAATTAGAAGGAAATTCAGATGAACAAAGGTCCATTAAGAAAATTCACACAAATACGTGCTAAATCACCATAGCAACAGGACTATATGAATGTATTATTTTCTTATGAAACTTTATTGGATTTCTACATTACCCAGGAGGACTGAGTGAAGTGTTGGAGATGTTTCCAATACTGCTGAACAGGACTTTAAAGATAAGTATACTTCTGTCAGCAGTAGTCAGCACAAATTTTAAGGGCTGTATCATAAACAAACATTTCTTTCTGATCCTGGTAAATTAGTTTGGATTGAGAACTGCTTTGCTGCGTTCTCACTGTGGCATAACTAAGAAAAAATATGAAAGGAAGTGTCTTGTCCTTCTTACTTGTATGATAACAAATACAGCTGTCTACTTGCTCGACCTGCTGGCCACACTCCTCCCAATTATGACCAGATGCCATTTGCCTTAGTTCCAATGAGCGTGCAATGCTGGCCTGTATTCAGTTCCCTGTCCACTCTCACATTCATACTGCGGTCGCTGCAACTTCTGTGATGATATTTGACATCGGTTCTTCTGTTTGCCTCTGTGTAAGTCAAGTAAAGCATTACTCCTGGTAAGCCTCTCCACCATTTGCATTAGGACACCTTCACAAGCACAGTCTTCAAGTTCTTCGATTGCTTCCATGAGGCTATGTAGCCATCCTTGCAGATGGACTGATGGCTGAAACCTCCCATGATAAGAGGTCTGCATGCAGGAGACTCCTGTTAGTTACCTATAGAAAGCATCATCTATTATCTTCTCAGTCAGGCAGTCTGTAACAGATACCGAAACATTACCCCTGAACTTCCTCCCTCCTCTGATCTCAACAGGCCAGTCTCCCATTTCAGGCTGGAGGTCTGTGCAGTCAAGGAGCTCCTTATGATACATGACTTCCTCTCTTCTTTCTAAACAGCCGGTGCACATCCACGACTGCATTCCAGCCATGTACGCTAATCCAAGTCTCTGCGATTCCAGTCAAGTCACAGCCCTGTGACTACACAAGGGGAGAAACAAGACCTGCAACTCACACTTGGTGCATCAGTGCGCAGTCACTGGAGGACAGCCTTTGAACGTTCTCCCTTCTGAGCAGGCATGTGAAAGATCTCTTTGTAGCCTTCTTCCTCCTGTTTCTCTTCCGTTTGTAGCTCCTCCTTTCCTTCTGGGCTTTGGTCTCCATCCTCTGACAAACTTACGGTAAAGGCCTCCTCACCAGGCTGGCAAGCCTAATGGCTAACAATTTTTCCCCTCTGAGTAAGATGAATTACATCAAAATCGTCCTTTTCTCCCCTCCAAACAAAGCAAGACGAACAAAGCTAAATGCTTGCTGGAGAAACCAGCTGTGCAGCCAGGCGCTGGATTCCTGACTGCATCTGCTCTCTCCAGATCCTTCCCCTTGGTCAGAAGGGCTGAGGACACCATTCAGTGCTGTGTGCCACTCATCCCTGCCTCAGAGCAAATGACCACCAACTCCTAAACTCTAAGGCATCAAAGCCGATACAGAAAATGGGCTGCATTTGTTAAGTGTGCACGCAACAGCTGCTGCTTTTCTTCCCCCCATTCCCCAGTTCTACTAATCCACATGCACTTCACTACTGCTAACCATACTGAGCAGTACGGCCCATAAAGTACACCTCAGTTAGACCTTCATGACTCTGCTTGAAAGACAGACACTGGACATGTGGATTCAGATGCTTCTTATTTAAAACAAACAAACAAAACAAAACAAACAAACAAAAAACCCCACCACTTTCATTTTTTTAAATGAAACCTAGTTTTATGCCCTTGCCAATAAGGCATAATGATGACCCACTGCCATCAGCAATCAGTTACAGCATTTCACTACCCTAGTTTTGTATGCTTCAAGCGTCTATTTACACAGTTCGTATAATTGTAGTCTGAGAGGACACGCATCACAGATTATATATCATTGCCCTGACATAACGCTTCCTTCCTCCTGTGACTTAAATAAGACTTCTCATTACCTGCAAGAAGAGATACAGACCACTCTCTACAGCAAAGAGACTGCAAAGTCTCCCCACTTCCCTCTAAAAATAGAGATTCTAGGCCTATTTGAACTGATAGACAGGCTGGATCGATGGGCTGAGACCAACAGCATGAGGTTCAACAAGAACAAGTGCCAGGTCCTGCACTTCAGGCACGAAAACCCCATGCAGTGTTACAGGCTGAGGGAAGAGCAGTTAGACAGCGGCCAAGAGGAAAAAGACCTAGGGTTGCTGGTTGACAGCTGACTGAACATGAGCCAGCAGTGTGCCCAGGTGACCAAGAAGGCCAACAGCATCCTGGCTTGTATCAGAAACAGTGTGGCCACCAGGACTAAGGGCAGTGATTGTCCCCCTGCACTGGTGAGGCCACACCTCGAATACTGTGCTCAGTTTTGGGCCCCTCACTACAAGGAAGACCTTGAGGTGCTGCAGCAAGTCCAGAGAAGGGCAACGAAGGTGGTGAGGGGTCTGGAGCACAAGTCTGATGGGGAGCAGCTGAGGGAGCTGGGGGGGTTTAGCCTGGAGGAGGCTGAGGGGAGACCTGATCGCTCTCTACAACGACCTGAAAGGAGGCTGTAGCGAGGTGGGGTCGGCCTCTTCTCCCAGGCAACTCGTGACAGGACAAGAGGGCATAGTCTGAAACTGCACCAGGGGAAGTTCAGGCTAAAAATGAGGAGGCATTTCTTCAGAGAAAGGGTCGTTAGGCATTAGAATGGGCTGTCCAGGGAGGTGGTGGAGTCACCATCCCTGGAGGCGTTTAAGAAAAGACTGGATGTGGCACTTAGTGCCATGGTCTAGCTGACAGGGCAAAGGTTGGACTCAATCCCAGAGGTCTCTTCCAATCAATTCTGTGAACCCATTCCCATTCTACTAAAGCATCCCTTGGAAAGGAGTCCCCGTACCCACTAACACTGAACAGCCTACCTTTACAGTTGGAAAGCCCTGCTGTGTCCGGTCTTTCACTGAGCCTCGGCTGCCTTCAGTCAGGTAACGAGCCCTGTGCTGGGTCTCTGGCTGTACCACTATCTTCAGCTCCTTCCCCTCGCTCTTAGTCGGGTACTGACCACACAACATTGGGGTCTTCTTCCCTCCAGGTCCCTTCTGGTTCTCTGATGTTCTGGGAAGTCAAAGCAGACCATTAAAAAGATGTTATAAGCAGCTCCCCAACAAAAACAAACTAGATCACAGAAAAGCTAAAAAGATAAAGAGTGTATATTAACGGATAGCAGATTTATAGTGGAGAGCAAACTCTGGAATTCTCTTTCTGACAGAGAAGGAGACCTGCAGGATGAAGAGGAATGGTGCTTCCCTGCCTCCTCCATCCAGTGCAAATAGGAACTGCTTTCCAGAGAGTAAACATAAAGGAAGGGAAAAGCAATTAGCATTACACCATGTTAACAAACAGAAGGCGGCCCATAACCTGCTTTTTCATAGTATATGATATAGCCTGCTATCATCTGAATGAGCTGTTTTGCTTCTGTAACAAATATACATATGTACACACACACACTGAATGGATTTAAGGTTAAATGGTACTTCTTTAAATAGGAAAACAGCCTCATGCCTGTCTCCACCTGAACTTGCATATCCATGCAAACTCAAATACTAATTTATGTCAAAACTGATAAATTTACATTAAAACCAAATCAGTTATTGTAAAAAGCTCTGAGATAATTGCACCAATTTTAAATCTGCAGTGTATGCAAAAAGACTGTTTCTTTCCAGGTCCGTACCTTAAGATGTACTACATCTTGTGTTCAGTTCCATAATTAAAACCTGAATGAAGAAGCCCTCCAAAGCAGAACATCATGTGATTGATTTTGTGTTCACTTTAAAGCACAACAGAAAGTAACTCTTGATCTTACACAGAGCAAGTTTGTATAATGAACCTGAACTGAAGTCTAATAAACTCATTTAACACTAGCAAATGTATACATGCCATGGCAAACAGTACAGGCAGAAAAAGGGCTCAATTAATTTATGCAAATATAAGATTCTTTTTTACTACCAAAAAGTAGTTTCTAACGACTCTGAAGAAAGCAGTTTCAAACAACAGGAGTGAATTCTTAAAAAAACAAATCCTTTTTCAATGTGCAACATACGGAAGCAATTTATCCAGGACTTTTTTCCTCTCCGGGAGAAGGGCAAAAGAAATGCTTTTTCTTCAAAATGGTTTACGGCGGGCCTTGCCACTGCAGGAGTCGTTCACTGACCTGAAGGCTGGGGTAACCCGTAGTGCTCTCTTCCCAACTGCCAGAGGATTTATACTAACCAACATTATCAGCACCTTTCCTAAAGATCCTACTGTGCAACGACTAGCACAAGGCCCCGCAGTCCGCAAATACTTCCAAGTCATTCCCCAGCCCCTGCCCAGCCCTCTTCCTACAGAAGTGCCTTCTCCTGCCCCCTGACTCCAGCACATCTCATACCCCTGAAAGTCCTATTTGTCACGCTCTTGTTTCTACTAAGCCTTCCAACAGCTTTTAATACGTGTAACTAAGAGTTAAAAGGGACGGCTGAGCTGTTACAAGGTCTGTGCTTTGTATGAAATTCATTCACGCTTTTCTGCTGGCGAAGGGTAACCGCTCCACCGCAACGGCCCAGCGAGCTCCCGCTCACCCAGCTGAGCCCGGGACGGAGGCCCAGCGCCCGGCCCTCAGCACCCCGGGTCACCTCGCACGCTTCTCTTCAACCAACAGCCGAGAGGCAGGATCGAGACAAAAAACATCATTAAAAACAATCCTGCAGGAGTACCATCCTTCTGCCGAGGAGTCCTGATTACTCTGCCACGGCCCAGTCAAACGAGCTGTTTAAAAAAATAAATACGCTACGCAAAAACGTACCTTCTTTTAGGAAAATAAAAGGGTCAAAATTCTTCTTCAATGTAGCATATAGAAAACCTGCCATACACTAAGTAAACCGTAATTAACACCACTATGCTCTTCACTTCTGTACAAGTCAAGTAAAAATGCTAATCAGACTCAAGCTCGTTAGATAATCACTTTCTCTATTCTTCCTGTCAGGACATTACTCCAATGGACCAGTAATTAAAAGGAATACATTTACAAACTTTCAGCGAGTATCTTCTCTTTTTCTCACTCAGAACTTTAAATCGCACAGCTATAATCTCGTAGCTGCCCACGGGGAAGGCAGGAGGAATGCTGGGCAACCTCGGCCACGGCAAACGCCATCGTGTTATTCCGAAGGCTGGGCCC